ATATACTATTATTCGGTTCATTTATACATTAAATAATGATTAAATTCAAATATATTGACTACAAATTTTGTATAAATTTTTCTTTTTATAATCTAAGCATCCTATGTGTATAAATAATTCATATTACGTATTTGAATGCTTAGTTGAACAAAAATTTACTTTTTTCTAATTTAAATAGTTATTGGAAATACTTATAGAATTACATGTTTTACTACAAAACGAAATATTTACATAATATTACATTTCAGACATAAATATATTTGGAAAATTGTTTGCTTATAATATTTTTTAATATTTATTTATTTCAATAAATAGATCAACTATATTAACATAATTAAAATAAATTAAATGAATACCAGAATTTAAAACAAAATAGAAAGATTATTTGTAATTACGAAATTGAATTTGAAATGACTGCCAGATGATTACACTTTTATTCGATATATTATAAATGTTTCTTATAAGTAGGTGAAAAGTTTTAGTTAGTATTTAGATTGGAGTTTCTTTTATTTTCTTAGTGTGAGTAAGCTATGATAGTTGTATTTATTGGTCTAATTAGTTCCACTGTTAAGACGCATATACACCTTTAAACGTTCTCATTTATTATTTATTTCTCGTTCACTTCGTATATTATATAAGATACTCCAATCATTTGTACAGAAAATTTATAATATTTTGGATTATCAACATATATTTAAAAACTGTGAAAATTATTCAATTACAGTTTTTGGTATTAAGACACTCATAATGAATAAAAATTCAATTGAAAAATATATAAATATGAGAACTAATGAATATGTATATATATTTTGAATTGGATCATTTTCCAAGACTTTGACTCTCAGAAAGGTATAAGCCTTATAGCTCCCACAATTTGTAAACATTCGATTGCGAGAATCTCGAATATTCCAAAGCCTTACTATCAAATATCCTACAATGTTTATCTGGTCTTCGCATAGTAACGTCGTTTGGAATTCTCCAAATTTCTGAAGTCTTGCTTTCCTGGAGTTCTCAAAACTTCTAAAGCTTTAGTCTCGCACGTCATGCAAGATTTTCGCATAGAAAAACCTATGCATTGTTGTCAGCTAAGTAAGCTGCCGCGCAGATATTTAAAGGAAGCACATCACGCTTAGGCTCATTGCAATTTAAGTCATTCAGTCAGTTTATCAGTCATTTCAGTATTCAGCTACACTATTCGGCTAGAGTTTACAGCCACAAGCTAGTCACTCAATTACGCTAAACGCAGTGAAGCTTTTACAAGGAATACATGTTCAACTATTAAGTGTGCTACAATTTACAAGCAGTCAATGGGTGCTGACTGCACTACAAAAAAGTATACGACTACAAGAAGGACGGTATCAAGGTATTCCTTATAATCATTCGGGTCATGCGTCCTGCCAGGAGTGTGCACATATTCACTTAGAATATGTGCACATATTCTAAGTGTGCATTTAGTAATAAGCTGTCTTGTTACAATTATAATATAATACAAAATACTAAATATAAAATATTACAATTAGTAATAAGCTACATAGCTTATTACTAATGCAATTTTTAATAAACCATATGTTAACGAAGTCTGCACGTTCTACAGTCCTTCCACTTAACTCTTTCCCAAGCATCTGCAAGCGCAGGCGACAATTTATTCTAAATCTATAGAAATATTGGCATTTCGAGTCAACAGTGTCGAACATTTGGTCCTTCTGCCAGATTTAGTGGAAGATAATGCATCTCACCAGTGCCTTTACACGTGCAACTTCGATGATTCACCAGTTACTTTTCATCACTGCATACTATGCAAGACGTGACACTACATTAAAGAGCATCCGGAGATTTTCGACCTCCGGCCACTCTGCATGCAACTAACATCAATATGGAGACCAAGAAAAGCATGGATGAGAAAGACATTATGAAAAACAGAAAATCCATACTCAGGAGGTCCGCATTATCACACCTATCCTCTGGACGCATTTTCAAGGCAAAAACTCAGTGGGATCGCATCGAAATAATGAAGAATTTCGCTGAGAAATTTAGTTCATCGCACCTCGACGTTTCCTCGGAACAAATTTTAAAAGTCTGTTGATACATCGAAGAGCTTCACAATGCCTTCATCAAGGAACATGCTGATATAGAGATGACATGATCAACTGCTCACAGTGTCTACGAGCATTTCGAGATGAAGGCCTTTATTGACGAATTCGCACAATATTCGACCACACGGGAAAAATAAATAAACATTGTCAACCCTCCACGAATTAATCTATTTTGGGAGAATCCTCGCCAAACAAGGTACAGGCACAAGGGGCCCGATTCCAAAACGGTACTATTTCTAAGTTTTCAGGAAAACAAGACGACTGGCGTGAGTTTCACGATCTTTTGAAGGCATTGGTCCCGAGAAACAATGAATCTAGCGAAATTGAAAAAATTGTATCACCTCCACACCGCAATGCAAGGTCCAATAGTACAGTTAATTTCTGGACTGCCACCGACAAACGACTCCCTTGCCACGGCTTGGGAACTGCTAACAACCTCTTACGACAACAAATGCTTAATTATCCAATCATGCTTCACAATCAAGTCTTCTCTGAATTAACACCAATTAAAAGAGAAAAAGCCGAGTTGGAAAAACTCATTAACAGCACCGGGGAAGCAATGAAACAGCTCAAGGCATTGGGCTTCATAGAAAATCTAGGGAATTACATCTCTGTATACTTGCCCTCTGGACAGTTCAATCATGCCATAAAGGAATTGTGGGAGTCATCAATTAGCTCTTCCAATTCATACGAGTTTTTTGAACAATTGGAAGACTTTCTAACGTATCGCAAGAGGACACTAAAAGAGATGAACTCAATCAAGGCTCGACCTAGAGACGCTGCATGACTACAACGTTGTATCAAAAGAACATCCAGGACCTATCAGGTATCAGTGAGCAATGCCTAGTCAAAACTCTCGGCACAAAAATACAGGTTTAACACGTGCGAATGTTGCACCTACCCCCATTCGATTCTTTTCATGTCTCCAAAATTCATGGATATGTTAACAGTAAAGAAACAGAATCTAGTAATACGACAAGGACTCTGTTTCAATTGCCTGAAACATCGCAATGCCAATTCGTACAACAAGCATGCAAAATGCAAGAAGTGCTCCAAACGGCACCATACCATGCTACACGAGGCATTTAAATCAGAAATTACTTAGGCCGGTATTTAAAACGCATCATCCAGATGAGATGATGACGCAGTGATCGAAATACTAGTTCATACCATCACTTTATTAGCCACGGCCATGGCCGAAATACGGTCAAAAATGACTACCGTATAAGTTCGTCTTCTCATTGACACAGGCTTTGAACTTACATTTGTCAACGTAAAACTCATTAGACAACTCAATATTCCTCGGACACATTCCATCATTGTATTCATGGAATTAGGGGAGCTCAATCAACTAAGACACTAGGTTTTGTGTCACTCACTCTACGCTGAATCAATTCGAATTCCATTATCACCATACAGGCTCACATTCTTCCAACATTGACCACAGTAATTCCTTCCTTTGAACCAACCGCACACGATTGACCACACTTGAAAAACCTAACACTGGACGATCTGCAATATTTTACACCTCGTTCAGTAGATATAATTCTTGGTGCAGACATATAGGGGCAGATCATTAAGCCGCAAATCATTAAGAATTTCCATTATGGTGGACTGGACGACCATGGATTAAGCCGCCAAAATCATGGGCATGGCAGTCAACGCTAAATGACAAACAATGTGAGTATAAAAGTGACCAAAAATGTGAGTATAACCAGTATATATTTATATTTCAAATCAGCATTAAGGCCACACGTCCTTTACAGGAGTTTGTGTGTATATTCCTGCTAATTTTTACAATATTAGCAGACGGCACATTATGTAAAACATTAAAGCCACACGTATTGTCGAGGAGTTTGTGCATGGTAGCTCGCTCACCACCGTTTCAGAACCATCTCTCAAAAGATTGTGCATGTCAGGATTGTTTCCCTGGTAATTTATATAACAACGTGTACAGTAATTCTGGGCACAATGCTCAGTTCATTATTTACATCAGGAACAGTGAATCTTTAAATAGCATAATCCAAGAAATGATATCAATATTGGCTCGTTGGTACTTGTCATCGACCAATGCTTCTCACCGTGCAAGTAGCCTCTCGCTCAAGTTATCGACATCCTTCCTGGCAAGGATGGACTGACCAGAGTGGTTACATTAAAAATAGCTTCAACCACCATGATAAGACCAATACATAAATTGGTAGTGCTACCCATTCCACAGGAAGGGCAATAATCATCAACAAAATTGATGATGGTGGGCGGGATGTTCGGAATTGGAACATTTCCAAGACATTGGCTGTTAGAAAGGTATAAGCCTTATAGCTCTTACAATTTGTAAACATTCGATTGCGAGAATTCTCGAATATTCCAAAGCCTTACTATCAAATATCCTACAATGTTTATCTGGTCTTCGCATAGTAACGTCGTTTGGAATTCTCCAAATTTCTGAAGTCTTGCTTTCCTGGAGTTCTCAAAACTTCTAAAGCTTTAGTCTCGCACGTCATGCAAGATTTTCGCATAGAAAAACCTATGCATTGTTGTCAGCTAAGTAAGCTGCCGCGCAGATATTTAAAGGAAGCACATCACGCTTAGGCTCATTGCAATTTAAGTCATTCAGTCAATTTATCAGTCATTTCAGTATTCAGCTACACTATTCGGCTAGAGTTTACAGCCACAAGCTAGTCACGCTAAACACAGTGAAGCAACTACAAGGAATATATATAATATTTAATTCATTACATTATAAAAAAATGATAAAACATCTATTCATTGATTGTAAGTTATTGGATAATCATGACAACAATAAATATAATACTAATAACAAAGTTAATAACGACAACAATAATACCAGTAATAATAAAATAATAATATATAAAATAATAATGAACGTATATTTTCAGAATATAAGACCTTATCTCTTATCTCTTGACGCATTTTCTCCCTCTCCTCTTCCATTTTTCGATGTTTTTCTTTTCTACGCTCCTCAGCTTCTCGTATAGCCTCTTGTCTTTCTCTCTCGGCTTCTTCTTCCTTTTCTTTGTCATCTTCGTCGCCACCCTCACCACCAACGGCCCCTAAAAATTAAAAAAAATTATTATTATCGCAATGCGTTATCCTTAATAAGGTTCCAAGTTTCAGACTTTATTTCTATAAGTAATTTTTTTTTTAATTTACAACGCATATATTTAATTTTGAAATAAAATTATAATTGTTACTTTTTAGAATATTATTTTAACAGAAGTATACTGATATAACAGATCGAAGATTATCAATACACAAATAATTTTGTATTGAATCATGTTAAATAGTTCTAAAATTATATAAATTCTTTCTAGGATTGTATTTTACTAATTGATTTAACATTTTTGTACTAAACTATTAATTAAAATACTCGAATGGTGCTGTAAATTATGGAAAAATAATACTTAAATAAATTGTCTTCATGATCATTTACTAATTTTTCAAATTAAATTGTTTTACTATATATTCCTAAATTACAAATAAGTTTTTAACAACTTTCAGATGTTCTATTTCAATTTAAATGTGAAAAATCTAAATAATATATGATTTAAATACAAAAATTCATGTACAATAAATATCTATGTTTAAGAAGTAAAAATTCGTCTTTGTGATAGAAGGTTTTGAGATATCAATATGTATATATATATATATATATATATATATGTTCATCTTCTCTAACATTTTGATTACTCTCTAGTTAGTCTTGAATCACGTCAGCTAATTGAGGTTTGAAGTTGGATTACAAACATTGTAATTCTATTAATAAACACCATGTGATTATATTTGATTAGTAGAATATAATATCTCTATGATAAATAATTTCTTTTCATATGTAAGAAATAATTATATCAAAAGACTTATTTTTATCTGTAAATTATAATGTAATAATAATATTTATTACGAACGATTCATCTTCAGTTTTATACGGTATGTAATATTAAGATAATTTCAATGATATCTAGTTGATTCTAAGTCTTTTCTATTTAAGCAATGTACAAATAAAGAAATTTGTGCAACATCCATAATAGAATATAAAAGTAAGTTAACTACTTTTGTTCTAATTTTGATCTATTTATTTGGATACCTGATTCAGTAATAACAATTATAACGATAAATTATTATTTTTGATTGATTAGATTTTTCTTCCGAATAAGAAGAAGCAGAATATATTAATGATTATTGACACTATAAGTTTTGATTTGACGTAGTAAATGGATTTACCATCGGAGAATATTTCCTTAATTCTTCTTTCAACATCATATTGCATTTTTACAAATCACATTGTTATCATATTGATATTTTATTCGAAATTTTTTTCATCAATTCATCTGCATTTCTAAATAAGAAAGTGGATTATTTCTTTTATCAAGTATATAATGTATATTGCTGAAAATATGTATTTTTTCAATGGTTTATATTGAATATAACAATAACAGCAATAACGATAACGATATAATAATATAGCAATAACGATAACATTGTAATTTTTAATATGAATTATTAAAATTTGGAAGCTGCTCTGCAGTATCAATTTATTACTGATCTTTATAGAAATAAATAATTCTATCGACATATGCTTACGTTGTTTAGTTATCAGTAATTCAAACAATATCTTGATCACTCTTTTTGTAACGACAAGGAAAAGAATAATAATTAAAATATAAAAGAATTTCCTTGGAAGTTTAACGATTTCATCTGTGAATTATTATTTACTTAGTTGGAAATATTACAAATTATTAAATGAAGTATTTAAAAATTTCGAAATATTTATTATTTTAATATACATTATATAATATCCGACATAAAATTTTAGTTGAAATTAAATTAAAACATTTTTTTGCACATTAATGATTTATTTAACTGGAAGGTTTTGTTACTGTCTATGTAATAGGAAAAGCATATATCTGATGCACCAATTCAAAATCATATATTAATGATACATGATAAATATTTCTCGGGGATTCACATGTGCATATGCACTATACAAGTAAGATGTAATTCTAAGCTCAGTTAATTGTCAATATATATAATATAGCTATATCTAATTAAATTCGTTATTAATAGGAATACAACGTGGTTATTAATTAGTAAAGCAGGTGTAATTCTGTATTTCTGAAACTATTTTGAATTTTGAAAAGAGCATAATTAATAATGATAATATAAATAATCAGCGTTGATCAGTGCTGAATCAAATTGAAATAAGTACGTTGTAAATCATTAAAAAGATAATTTTAATTGTCATCATAGATTTATTTATAATCTATTTTAATTAGATATGATTTGAAGTTTAGACAATTATAAAAATAACACATGCTTTTAATATTTAAGCTATTTTTTAGAAGCATTTCATGTTTTATAACCAATTCAAATATTTTTGTAATTGTTCAGAAATTATATAACAATATATATAAAATAAATATAAATTTAATATAAAAACATATTGATATTATTTTACTATTTAATTTTTTTGTATGTAGTCCATAAAATAAGATATAAAATTATATTTATAAATAAAAAATTGCTTTTTATAAAATAAAATAATTTTTATAGATAATGTTAAGTGCTCAAAATTTGACATTTAAAAAGTTATATTAAATAGTTATATTTTCTATATTTAATAAACCAAAATGAACTTTATATTATTAAGAAAGATACTAAAAATATTCTAAATAAATAATATGTAGAAGATATTAGCGCCTCTTATAATATGTACATTTAATTCCTGATTATTTGTCATTGTTTTAATTGAATACTGGATATATTGCGAACGATTGAAAAATTGTTAAATAATAATAGTATATATCAACGTATCAATTATTAATTCTCATACAATTATGATTGCCCTATGTATGTATATATGCATATATATATATAAATATATATATATATATATATATATATATATATATATATATGTAGATATAACAATAATAACAATAAATATATTTATATATATATTTACCTTATAGATTTTTATTTCGTTAAATATAACATGACAGAAAATCATGGAATAAACGAATAAAAATAAAATATTTTATAAAATGTCAATAAAATTGAAAAAAAAATTTTTTTTAATTTTATTAGACTTAATTAAAAAGAAATACTTTTTATGGTATCGATTAGTATTATTATGTACAATATTATTTCAAACTATTTTAAATTCTATATTAAAATAAATATTCTTATAATATGTTTCAATGGTTTAAATTACATTAAAATACAAAAACTTTAAAATTTTTAATATTTTCAGTTAAAATTAGTTAAAGCATAATATAAGTCATTATAAAAATGAATTGATCAAATAACAATTTAATAATTAATAACGATGTATATGGTTTGTAATAAATTTTGTATTATTACATTTATTATGCATTATATTATATTATATATATACATTATATTAAATAAATAAATTATTTAATTATATTCCAATATTTTGTGAGATAAAAAAATGAAAATTATCTATTGAAATTAACAATTTATTTACATGGAAACTCTATTATCTTTACATAAGATCTTTATAAAATTTTTTATCAATAGTTATCGTTTTCAAAAAGTTAAGATATTCTCATTTCCTGAAACTTTTTATCTACATAAAGTAATAAATATATAATTTTAGTTTTGAATTATAAATTATGCTATTTCTAATTTCAAATATTGAAATTATTATAAAAAATATAATTTTATATTAGAATCTCGTTCGTACATTAACTTTACTACTATAGTAAACAGTACACGTGTTTTACCTTAGAACTCTCAATATGAACTAAACTAACGAAGTTTTAGAAGTTCACAAGAAGATTAAGTTAGTAAAGTTTTGATGCCCAAGACTTCGACCGAAATATCATGGAAAACTAACTTTGTTTTATGAATATGAGTTATTTATAAATTACTGAAGAGCATTATATACATATACTAGTAAGTTTTTTATTTATTATTTGAGAAAATAAAACGAAAAATTTTGTAATATTTACAATATAAAACATATTAATTATTTCAATAAATTAACGATATTAACATATTTCAAAAAGTTTTTGCTACTTAAATTTCAAACTAAAGAAAATGAAAATTTATCTAATAGTTAATATTTCAGAATTTGCTATACGATTAATTAGGCAATTGCAATTTTTGTATCACAAACTATATATTTAACAATTATATATTATTAATAAATTTACGCATAATACTAAATATTTTTAAATTATATGTATCTGGAAAATTAATATTTATTAAAAATTCAGGTTCAAGAATTATTCTTTGTTTTCTAAGATTATATCGCAAAACATATTGCAAACTTATGACATGTCTGCATTTAGGTGATTTGAAATGATTTCTTTTTGCTTCCTTCCGATAGATGATGCTTTGATATCTGTATTTAAAATTTTTTTTAATTATTATTTTATTATTTATATAATTTTTACGTATCTATTTACTTAAATTTATTCTACAATTATAATTATCATACTTATTATATAATCATTTTTTAATATAATAAAATATTTAATAAATATTTTTAATATATTTTAGATTTTAGTATTATTTCAAAAATATTAATAATATTTAAAAATTGCACATTATTGATATTAAATATTGAAAAGTAATGAATATGGTAAATTAATAATTATGTTCGTATATTTAAAGTAAATTTATTATTTTTGGCTTAAAATCCAGCAATAGACTTTATGCAATATACAAATTAAAGTAAATGTAAGGTTTATATCGAGTATTCTATTTTTGAATTTAGTTGATTTGTTGCTTATAAATTAAATTAAATTATTCTAGATCCTTAAGTTACCAATATATAAAAATGTAAAGGCCTTGTAGAAGTTTGCATGCAGGCATGTATAAGAGTGTATGAAATTAAAGAGATGCAGTGTATAAGCTTCTTGTGAATCGATTTATCGTCGACCCACTTTCCTAAATTAAAATTTCTCGTTGATGCCGAAAACCTCTAATTAAACTTTTTTCTTTCTTACACGACTACAGCAGAAAAATTTACATGCATATAACTATCTTTATACTTTTTTCTTCTATTTATCATGATCAACAGGAG